TGACAGCAGTTCTGAAATAAGAAAAACTGTATTTTGTATGATCAGTTTTCCTATTCTGAAAGAGAAAATCTCCACAGACTTAATACCATTATGACTTTTTATAGTTCATAACCATTTTTAATTGAAAGTCAACATAAAATTTAAAAGTGAAGAAAACATTTAGTTTTGCCTCATATTCCAGGCTCAGTTCCACCTTAAGACATGATGAAACATGAAGTTGTGGCAAATCACTTCTGTTTTCTATTACAAAACTTATAGAACAGTCTGATTCATCAGTGAAATGTTACTAAAACATGAAATGACAGAACTTTCCCAGATCATCACCTGATAGCCTCATATCTTGACGAAAACATCCAAAATGAAAGGATGGTTTATATTTTTTCCCATTATAAACCCCCAATAAAACTTAAAGACAACAGACAAGATAAGAAGACTTATCTGCTTTAAATCACATTTTATTCTTTCAATAAGATTCAAGTATATTTCTAAAAATTGATTTTCAAGCTTTGTATTATAATTGGCATTATAAAAATATAAGAATCATCTTAACCCATACCACATATGAAGAGTCATGTTTACTTAATCAAATCCAACATATCTTATTAAATAGCTTATTAAAATATATAATCCTTTGAATACATTTGATCAGAAGATAAACTTTTGAAAGTTTTTCAAAATTCTTAGTTAATGAGCACTATATTCCATCCATGGTTTTCGTGTAACCAATATAGCCCAATATATTAATCAAACTGAAAAGTGGACAAATTTGAGGTCAATGTCTAACTGTGTCTGCTTTGAACGGAGTATTCATAAAATACTATCTGATTTAGGTCAGAGTAGGGTCAAAGTTATCGCTGATTGAAAGTAAAATAAAATCATTAAAACATATTTGAATAAGATTTGATCATTAAGAAATTAAGAAAGGATTATTAAGAAGATCATTAAGATATGTGTGTCATCATGGTAATAAATTGTTCATTAATCTGCAACAACATGCTGTTTTTTCACACTGGCATTTTTCAACATCCAAGAACATCTGCCCTCATACAAATGTGATGATGCCAGGCCACTGGGTTAATACGCAGATAGCGGGCATACACAGGAGTGTCAAGGACATTCTGCTGGATGGTATCCTCATCTATGTTGCCTTGGAAGGTCTGAAAAGAAAAGATGAAATAGACAAAGATTCCTTTAGTTTCTTATTATCAATGTTTTGTTGTTCTTTTGTTCTTGTGTCAAGAATTTTCTTTAAAATGTAGCCATATTTAACACTCTTCTCCAAAAGTTTTTATCGTCATTTATATATTTATTATTTCCTCAACATATCTGGAATTTTGAAAAAACAATTTGATATGTTTATCAATTGTTTCATATTGTGGTTTAAAACAGAGTCAGCCAGCGCAAGCTATTGGACTGAACCTAGGAGGAAAGACTTACCAGCACCACTTGTATATATTTGGTGGTGTTGAGTTGGCATAATTATTGAAGGAAGCAAGAATATACTTCACCTATATACACATTTTTTCAGCTTCTTATAAACAATGCAATATTTTACTCTTTTCCAAAGAAAACTTCTATCATTATTTACTTTTATATATATTGTCACTAGGAATACTGAAAATATGTTTAGTTAACATACCTTGGTCTTTCCATCAGCATCATAGAGAGCTCTCATTATCAACGTGTTGTTCCCATAATGCACCTGGTATTCCCTGACAAAACAAACATAGCCATTCCGTCCTTTAGTTAGCACTGCCGTTATTTTTCTCACTCTCCCAAAATCAAACTGGAGCCACTGGTTCTTGTCCTTAGTTGCACCATGCCAGCTTCCCTGGTTAGTGTCTTTGTCGCCAAGTGTGTACAGTCTTGAATGTGGTGGTGGAAAGTCGGAACTCCAAACGGAAGAAGCGGTGATCTGGGAATCAGATATGGGCGATTTTCCAGACACCAGCAAGTCTCGACAGTCATCAGGGGGTATGAACGAGTCCAATTTCTGTAGTGTTTTCTCCATTTCCGTAATTTTTGCAGCCTGCTGACTTAGCTGTTGTTTCTGCTGCATTATGAGGATTGCCTGGGAGTTGAGAAGCGTCTCTTGACCTTGGACCTTCTTTTCCAAAGCAGCCATGTCTGGTGTGTTCTGGTTTTCAGGACTTCCTGCAGTCATGACAGGCAGCTCTAACATGAACATCGCTTTCCCATCTTTGGTATACTTTGGTTGGCAAGTGTTGTTTGGGACAATTTGAGATAAGGCTGAAGTCAGACCAAACAAAACCATGAACATCAGCAACATTTGCACCATGTATGCCATTTTGCCAGTCTTAAAACTAGCACCTGATCCAAAATGACCTTTAGTGGGCAGATATCAAAGATCAGTGCTTTACATGTGACGTGATATCAGATGTTTAAACAGAAGGGTAGACTTATCACATGGTCAAGTATGGTGGGAAAACATGCCATGACCTGAAGTTTCAGGCCAGAGGATATGATTACATATCAAACTTTATTAATGGGCCGCGCCAAGCTCTATTCTGTTTCTATGCTCAAAACATTCTGATGCCTTTCACACCCAAGTGCAGCCAATTGTTTTTTCTATTCTTTTTCTTTTTTGTCAAAACTATGGATGAAGTCAGATAAAGTACTCATCTAAAAGCTGTACATAACACAGAGGAGAGAAATGGCTAGCTTTGTCTCATCAACTATTTTTATTATTTCTCTTAAAGTGTTGTAAAGTTAACTTTATCTTTTACATATTGATTCATAAGTCAATTCTACATTCCTAATAAGTAGGTCTTATCTTTACAATGCTAATTACCAAGAAGTGGTACCAACAATAGTATCTCCTACATAACTAAACTTGAATGCTTAAGCAGATTTGTAAGTCTAACAGTGTCTATTTTTCATGAAGCATTCAGGAAATATTTTCTTATTAAGGTGTATTCCAGCATCATGAGTTATTTACAATAAAAAAATGCAACTAAGATGTATTTATATTATTCAGAAGGACCATTAAGATGTGTTTGTCATCATCATAAGATGTTCATTAATTTGCATGCTGTTTTTTTTCCAGACTGTCATTTTTCAACAGCCCAGAACATCTGCCCTCATACAAATGTGATGTTGCCAGTACACTGGGTTAATACGCAGATAGCGGGCATACACAGGAGTGTCAAGGACATTCTGCTGGATGGTATCCTCATCTATGTTGCCTTGGAAGGTCTGAAATGAAAAGATGAATAAGACAAAGATTTCCCCTAGTTTCCACTTATTAAAGGGGTAACAACCGTTCATTAGATATCCATATTTCACAATAAATATATTGTAAATAATTCATAGAAATACAATAAATTCTTTTTTACCCCCAAAATGGCAGTTAACACACTTATTTTGGAATTTGAGCTTGCCATCAAATCACGTGACCTCCATAGATGGCTACACTCTGTAATAATCTCTTAAGAGATAATTACAAAAAACCAAACTTTTTAGAAAAAACCCAGGGACTAATTTTAATGTGGGAATGGATTAATTTACAATTGGTAAGTATGGAAAAATTGTCCTTTGCCCCAGGAAAATTAATTTTTTGGCCAAAATGAAAGGCTGGTATCACTTTAAGTTTTGTTCTTGTTTTATCTCTAATGTGTGATGGTTTTTCTAAACAAGGCAGCAAAGCTGTCAAATGTACAGACAAAAAACAGAAAATAATGATGCAAAATAGGTCATTTTGCCAATTTTGATGCAATAATAAATAATGCTTATAATAGCACTGTTAGTCAACACTGAATTTTAATCATGCACAACAGGTAACATGGTCAATAACAGGAGCTGACCCAGAGATATTTTCTGACAGTATTCCAAAGTATCTTTGTTGATCCATCCTCTATTTTGATGATCTTCCAACAGAAAAAAAAATAAATATCAGTCAATATAAACTTAAAAATCCGAACGTCTTCCGGAAGCTGACCCAGAAGATGGTCTCAATCCATCCCTTCAATAAGATTACAGTATCAGGACCATGAGAGACCAAAGTCACATGATGAAAGTCTCAATATTTGAAAAATGATGACAGTGCATAAAATAATATTACATAATGTTTGAAAACATAAATAACATACAACTGCTTATGTGGAAATACAGAAAATGTGCAGAGCTTCAGGCGGTTAAATATCACAAATGCAAGTGTTTGAGAAAAAAGTTATTAAGGAAAATAAACAAAACTAGAAAAGCACTCCGAGAGTGCAGNTGACCCGATCATGCTGATTTTCGAACTTGACCTGCATATTATAAATATTCATCAATTCTGTAAGTTTCAAGCTGAAATAAAAAACAGTTTTCCACTTATCGTGTTATCGGTAAAAGTGCACGGCGACGACGGCAACGACGGCGACGACAGACGCAGATGATGGCTATATGTACAGACACATCTGTGTCTGTACATAAAAAAATGTAATATTTTATTGTTATATACAAAAATTTTTATCATCATTTCCTTTTTGAATTAATTTTTCACTCATGATATAAAAGTCATAGGTTAGTGAACATACCTTAATCTTTCCATCAGCATCATGGAGAGCTCTCATTAACAACGTGTTGTTCCCATATTGCACCTGGTATTCCGTCACGAAACAGGCTTGGCCATTCCGTCCTTTAGTTAACACTGCTGTTAGTTTTCTCACTCTCCCAAAGTCAAACTGGAGCCACTGGTTCATGTCTCTTTTTGCAGCATGCCAGCTTCCCCCATCACCCACATTAAAAGTAAGTGTGTATAGTCTTGAACGTGGTGGGTAATGGTCAGCATTGTAAGAAGAAGAAGCTGTGATCTGCGAATCAGAAATGGGTGATTTTCCAGACACCAGCAAGTCTCGGCAGTCTTCAGGTGGTGTGAGGGCATCCAATTTATGGAGTATTTTCTCCATCTCCATAATTTTTGCAGCCTGCTGACTTAGCTGTTGTTTCTGCTGCATTACCAGGATTGCCTGTGAGTTGAGGAGCTTCTCCTGATAATGGACCTTCTTTTCCAAAGCAGCCACATCTGCCATGGTTTGATTTCCAGAACTTCCTACCGTAATGACTGGCAGCTCTAACATGAACATTGCCTTCCCATCTTTGGTATACTTTGGTTGACAAGTGTTGTTTGGGACAATTGGAGGTAGGGCTGAATTCAGGCTGAACAAAATCATGAGCATCAGCACCTTTGGCACAACATCGACATACGACATTTTGCCAGTTTTAAAACTAACATCTGCTCCGAAAGTATCTTCGCAGATATCTTATATTAATGCTTAGTGTGTGTCATGATATCATATGTTTAAACAGCATGGTAGACTTCTCACAGGGTCAAATAATTGGGAAAACATCCATGACCTGAACTTAGGGACCATTCCCAGACTCTATTGTACTAATTGTGGATTGATCTTTCTCAATAAATTGCAATCAACTTAAGAGGCTAAGATTTCTGAAGCTGCTGGGGGTAATTAATTATTGCTTAGCAGCTTTAGTAGGTGTGCCAGACATCTAAGCAGCTTAAGCTAAAAGCAATTTAGTGAGAAATCCCATGGGAATGAATTGATCTTGCTAGATCAATCTAGGTATGGGAACCCAGTCTTATGTACCACAGGAAATGTGCACATCAAACTTGAACCATGGTTCGAGCACAAAAACAGACCACGCAGTGCTCTTTCCCATGTAAAGTCACAACACTACATGGTACAGAGCGTAGTGGGGTCTACTGTATTCTGCTCTGACCATGGTTGAAATAGTCAGATAAAGTCTCAAAGCGCTACATGAAGCAGAGGAGAGAACTGACTCCATTTGTCTCATCAGCTATCTTCTCTTTTTCTCCTACAGCTCCGTGACTTGCACTTTATCTATTGCATATTGGGCCTTATACTTGGTGCTAAATGAATAGGTTCCTACTTGACAACATGATTTACAAATAACTTCCCATGCAAAGTGTTCCTCAGTTACTTTAAAAATTAACTGCCTTGACGGCATGCTGTGCATCCACCAGCTGAATTGCAATTAACACCATCATGAACATCACCAACATTAGTGATATCAATAATTTTTGGGAGAGTTTTCTAGAGATCTTACCTTTAAACATGCTTATAAACTTGGAAGCCTTTTCATTACCGCACTGTAGGGCTATACTTTCTGCAGTCTGAAAAAAGATATTGGACACCATTGTTTTCTGATAAAATATCAATGATTAAACTTTCCATTTCCAATTTATTTAAATGTGATAATTAAAATATAAATTATTAAAAAAATACTTTTAGATTTACTGGAACCGATCAGCTCAGGTACATACTTCAACTCCTGTCACAAAAATAAATAAACAAACAAATAAATAAAAGAAAAAATAAAATATAACATATTAACTGATCCCAATATCTGTGCCTGCAAGTCCCCCGCCGTATCGCTTACCTGTCCCTTGTCATTCTGCATGAGGGGGTCAGCACCATAGGACAGCAGGATTTTTACCGTCTCCCACCTGAAAGTAATTCAAGATATTTATAAGCTTACACAATAGAAGTTTATATATTAAGATATAAATATGCTTTGTTATTTTCAGGCAGGATTTGGAATTTTTTTTATCAACCCATCATAACTTCTTCAGTAAAAATTCCTGTTTAGGCCCAACAGCAACTGGCAGGGAAAAACAGTGTGTAAAATCTGCATACATGTGTGAGTAAACCAATGACAAACTTCATTCATTCTCTTTATTGTTGCAATAGGCAATAGGTGTAATAATAGTCGCCTTTTTAGGGCTCATTGCCAAAGAAACTGTCTGTCTACGTAGATCATTCCAACCCTGCGGGGACTCTCACTGAATGCAATCAGCTTTGCAGATGAACAGGCCTCCTCTTTGCTTTGTAAAGAATACAGAAAAGCTGGTGATTATACAAGTAGATTGGCTACAATAGGAGGTGTGTTAATCTGTTTATCTGATTGCATTCAACAAGAGCCCCTTTGGAGTTGGATCGATCTACGTTGACCAACAGTTTCAGTAGGAATGGGCCCTTAGACTACCTTTCATATCTGACAGCCTCGTGTAGTGGCCGCGTCCTCTGTTTGATACAGATACCATTTGGGTTTACACCATAGTCAAGTAGAAGTTGAACAATTTCCGAACTTCCTCTAATTGCGGCACCAACAATGGCAGATGTGTTCTCTTTCAGTTTTGGCTCATGGTCAAGAAGTGCTGATGCAGCTTCTGAGAGTAAGACAAATATCAAGGATAACAATCATGTCATATCATCAAATATAATACATAATACATATCTTTCAAAATACATTGTTAAATTTGAACTATGCAGAGAAACCAAATGTTGAAAAGAACAAAGAGAGAGAGAGAGAGAGAGAGAGAGAGAGAGAGTGAGAGAGAGAGAGAGAGAGAGAGAGAGAGAGAAAGAGGGAGGGNTGTGTGCGTGTGTGTATTAAGCAGGGATTACAAGCATTGATTTAATTTCTTAAAGTGTGATTTTCTTAAAAGTGTGATTTGTTTCTGTACATTAGGACAAGTTTCCTGAAATGTTGATAGTATTTTATAAAAACAATGAAAAAAACTTGTCGTATACTAAATTCTTTTGGTAAATAATGTAAAATGATAACAGCTAGTGTAGCATTTTATCATGGATTACAACAGAGAGTCCAAATCAGTAATCGTCTTAAATGCAAGTTGAAAATCCAAGCATAGATTAATGCTTCTAAACATTTTTAACAGTTTATCCAGCTCAGTTCAGCTTCTGTGGTGAAGTCCCACTTGGCTCTGACAGCTATATCACAGATGGATACACTTTTAGATGATGTCATATATACCTAAACCAGTTTGCTTTTATCTTTATGTGAATACCACTGTATTGTATTACTACCAAGCTGAAGTGTGTCAGTGAAATTTGTTAAGGAAGTGAAAGTGGCCGGGCATTACAATGAAAACAAATATTCTTATTCATGATCCTTACACTGTATAATACAGGGGTAAGAATGTGAAGTAACCTAAACTGATTTGTTTTGTGATTTACAATGCAAAGGGTAAACGTTCTTGAGGAGAGAAGCCAAGCAGGAATCTTGAAAGTTAAACCTTAGTCAGCTGCTTATAGTGTGGATCAATTATCATGGTGGTGGTTAAAAACCATTGGACACCAGATTTGGTTACAAATAAATTCAGATTTTACGTTTCCTACTCGCTGTCTACTGGAAGTACATGGAAGAAGCTGCTTATTTAAAAAGATTGAAGTTAAGAAATGAACTGATCAGTTCACAGATGTGCTTGAAGATTCAAAGCCATGAAGATGTTATGTGTGTCATGTATATTGACAGCTGCTGATGAAGTTTTAAAATTTGTCACCATATGCTGAACTGAAGGTCTGACTGGAGGAGATAGCGTGTTTGTATTTAAGGATGGGCACATGCAATGTAAGACATACTGAGTATAATCTGAAGGTGAAGTCGTGTTTAGGTAGTCATATTAAAACTGAAAGTATTGAATTTTGTAGTGTATTGTAATGGGAACGAGAATTGGCCAACTATTTGAGAGAAATGAACAGGATAGACAAGAGAAATTTGTTTTTTTTTTTAATTTGGTGAAGTAAAATGTTTTTGTTGAGACTTAATTGATGGAAATAGCCATGAAATTAGCAAAGAGATTAACAGGATAGATTTGAGAAATATATCTTTTCCAATAAAACAAGTCAGAAAAGTTGTATCAGTTTGTAAGAAATACAGTAAACTTTTCAACAGAAATAGAGAACAGTTAAAATGGTCACTTGTGAAACTGAAGGATATGATAACGGTAAATCAAAGAATGCCTTTCAAGCTGCAATTGTTAAGTGGAGTTGTTTAATCTTCTTATAACAGGTAGTGACAAGTGTCCATTGTAAGGCGACAAACAATACATATTCAAAAACAAAAGTAAATTATCAGTTTTGGTTATTTTATAAAAGAAACTTCTATACATATAACTATTCAGCTTAGAGTGAAGTGTTTTACCACAATTTTAAAGTACATGTTGTTGCGTGTTAGAAATAACAACATTTAAGTAGAGGTTTCATTGTTAAGATGTTAATGGCATTTAACAAAAAAAAATTTAAAAAGATTGATTGCTGAATTGCTTATGCTTGCAGTTAAATCAAAATGCACTTACTATAGTAAAAAACAGATGGCAGAATGAAAAGTTTGCTTTTTATGAAGGTGGTGACTAACTTCTGTTGCCACGGCAGCATAATGTGTGTCGTCACAGTGTAACATGTTGGACTGCAATTAATCCTTTTTTTCTTTAGAAAATTCAGTTAACAATTTATGGATGAATGTAGACTTCTGAGGAATAATATGCATGCAAATCATTTATTTGAAACAATTAGTTGTGCTTGGCCAGTGGAAAATTTATCAGTTAAAAAAGAGGCTGATTACTGAACCGGATGAGTGATTGATTCGGAGAATGGTTACTTTCTGGTCTTCTGCCATTGTTGTTTATAAGAACTGATGCAGTCATCCATCCGTTATTTGAAGTGCAGCGCTGTGCAGTGTGGTATACTTTGACACCATTGGGACATCAATAACAACCCAACACCAAGTTAAGAAGTAACTTTTTTCAACAAAACCAGGAGAATCTTTTCCTGCTGAAGCTAGGAGCTAATTTAAAATTGTATAAAGTGGATATCTCCATGTACTTGAGACTGTATTCAGGTAAGATTTTTTTCCTGAAATTTTGAAAAAAGTGTCATACATTATTCAATCACTGGAATACCAAATGTTTACACAGGAGACATTTAGGATTTTGAGACACTGGTAGATGAGATTTCTTGAAATTAACTAGCAAGTGACTCTAAATTTGATGAGGAATAGATTGTTTCAAAGTGGGTGAAAACTGCATTCTGTTACTTCTTTTAACAACGGGAAGCATTATTACATTTAAAAAGAACAGAGGTAAGGGGAATTGCATTGCTTTAACTGTTTCTGATCAAATGTCTTTCGGATTTTTTCAAAAATTCCAAATTTTTTTTCATAAAGTAAAAACACATTTTATTAGTCAACAAGACCATTTTTACAATTTAAACAAGTGTCTTTAAGGGGATACTTAATGATCATAAAATGGTTCATACTTCATACTCAAATAAACCCAAATCTAAAAAAACATTCATGGAAGTGACAGCTAGGGTAGTCATAGTAGAAGAGCACATTCAGAACAGCAGAAAAAAAAAGATCCGCAGATCAGATGTGGCCTACCCACTTAATTGAATGCTTGTTGTATAATCCCTGCGGGGAATTTATTCAGTGTCTAGTCAGAAATTAATTGGCAAGCTTTTTTGTGGGTTGCCATATTTGATTCGCAGAACTGTTAGAGGGCATTTCCAGAGATTTAGATCGATCTTACTAGATCGACCTAACTCCCTGGGGGTTCACGCTAAATTGCAATCAGCCGACCGTGCACGGAAGTTAATTACCCCCTTACAGCTTGTAGTAGGCGGGACGGACATTTAAGCCGGATTATCTGACAGTAATCTAGTGAGACTCCCCACGGGGATAGATCGATCTAAAATCTATGGGAATGCACCCTTAGTTGGCTGTTCTGAATGCGCTCTAACAGGAATGATACAAATGAATGATAAAAAGGATTTTTTTTTCTTTTTGCTGTACAGAGGACATGCTGTTCAAAGTGACACAGTGCAATCTGTCCTCAAGCAATGTCACCACATGTATGCTGTGGAAGCATTCACACAATCAACTGATGATAGATAGAGGACTGGAGTATCATTTAAAACAAGATATCTTCTGTGTTTTAAAGGGGGACATGGTTTTGTGGTTGTTCAGAGGATAGAGCTGCTGCAAGTTGTGATAATAGACGTATTTTTGTGATTAACCAGCAAGAGCAAGTTAACACGTAATGAACAGATGATGAAAACCCAAAGGCCTATACATTTGTGAGTCAACTTTGTGTACATCTTAACAGGCACATCAATGTACTGGATTATTTCATAAACTAATCTGTGTTTCCCCAGTGTAGATGGAGAGTGATACTGCAATTATGGCACTATGTTGTGGAATACTAAATATTACATGTACATTTGTGAACCATTTTACAGTTTTGGGAAATTTTGTCAGAGCAAATGAAGCCATAGACGTCATGGCAGACTCATGATGCAAATCACAAAGTGAAAATTTGCTGGACTCAATAATTCACACACTAGTATGGTGTAACTGTGCAACAGTTGGGCGATCTGTACCACAGTTCTGTACCACAGATATCTGTACCACAGATGGTATATGGTAATATCTGTACTCTGGTGTGACTACTGCAGTTGGTATATATTAATCTGTACCACGTATAGTTCTGTACCACAGTTGGTGTATATTGCAGCCAGGGTTCCCTATGTATCATGAGTGGCCGGCTCCAGGGGATGCTGTGGATGGTGGTGTACCCATGGTGGAGGAGGCTGTGGCAGGTGGGTAGTCATTTCACTTAATGAGGCTCTCTCATATTTCAGAAACACCCTGGCCTGGTGAGTTTGATAAAAATTGTAAAACAAAATCAACTCACCATGTGAGTAAAAAGGTTTTTTTAAAAGAATTGAGGGTAATCCAGCTCGTTTTTGAGAGTTAGCGTGACGAAAAATGTCACAGGGTTTGTAAAGTCGTAAGTGGGTACACTACGCTGTAAAAGTACAAGTGTTCTTCTCTAAATGCAACATTTCCTTTGACATTTTCAAAATGCTTCGATCAAAATAACAACAAAGCTTTCATCAAAGGATGAATTATATATATTTTAATTGCATGGTATATTTTGATCATTAGTCTCTGTTGTAAAAAAGTACTCAAACTAAGGTCATTTTATAGGTCAGTTGAAAGTGACCAACAAGAATTATTTATTTATTTATTTATTTATTTATTTATTTATTTATTTATTTATTCATTTATTTATTGTGAGGTAGGGTTGGATGATTTAAAAAATGTGAAATGTTAAAAACACCTCTTAACACTTGGATTATATAGTGTCTTACATGTATTCCTCACTAGTAGTGACATGCATTAAAACAAAGAGTAACTAGAGAGTTTCAAGTGTGTCTTAAATTCATCTTTTCTCATGTTCTGTATCTTGTGCTCAAAGTGCAAAGGGAACAAACAGCCATTTTCCAAATCTATGATAAATCTTTTCTTTTTGATATCATACTGATATTACCACCTATGCCATTTTCTTGAAATTTTTGTCTGCTGTTAAAAAGTCTACTGCTTCCCCAAGACATTACATCAGTCCAAGGCATGTATGCCTGCAGAACCAAGTAAAGGGAACCTTTTGGCTTATTCTTGATTTAACACGTTAATGTGAAAATGTGATAATGTAAAAGAGTGAGTAAAAGGAAGTTGTTTGAATATCATTTATAATATATCTATTTAAAATGATGATGTAACAAAATGAAGCAGTCAAGGAGACCTCCTGCTTGGTTTTCAGGGTTTGGGACTGATGAATTGCTTCTTGTAGATTGTTATGTTACCAGTAGGCATCAGGTTCTTTAGAAGAATTGTCACACTTTTTAGCCTGCGGGTATTTGTGATATATATCACACCTAGGATCTGTACATTTTATAAAGTTACTTAACACTTCAGGTATTTTTGGTGCAGTATATCTATATTTGGCCCCAGTACAAAGATATTGGTTTGTTGAGACGTGGTAACCTGTTTTGCCCAGGGTGATTTTCACCTTATTTCTGGCTAATGAATGCACACCTGGCATTGCAAGAAATTCATTGACTGATTGGTTCAGTTATTGCACTTACTGACTTAGAATTAACCTGTTCATAAATGAAAAAACGTCAACTTGTAGTTTTTTTTTTAATTGGTGTGTTTCTGTTGTAACAGAGGTGATTAATTATTATATTAATTATTATATTTTGGAGGACAAGAAAGATGTGGTATTGAATGAAAGAAATTTAATATTTTTAAGTAAAGAAATTATTAAAGCAAGTTTTTAAAGAAGTTTATTTTTATGAGGTGACACTAACATATCTAAGGATGCCACTTATCAGTTGAAATTGATTTTAAGAAAAAAAAAGGGAAAAAGCAACTTCAGCTGTTTTTAAGTATCAGAAATCAATCTATTTTTACGAGATATTCTGTGTGATACCTATTTATTTCATTATAACTATTATGAATGTATGTGATTTTTTGAAAATGTTTTAGTAGAAATAAAATAATATTACAAGCATTAAACAATGAAAAGTGGCTGTACAAATGTTTGCATAGAGCAGGAATCAGGCCATTTCATAATACAAAGGTAAGATAACATAAAGGGTTATTATATTAATAAGAATTTTAGAGTTTAGATTATAGGTGAGATAAACCATGTGTGGTTTGATTTGAGTTAATCAGTGTGTTATTACAAGAACAGACAATACACAGAACAATGCACACACACAAAACAGTGCCTTTGTAATGTACTGATTCTTTTGTCCTCCGCAGTTCCTTGATAAACAAACAGCTGCTGTAATATGTTATCATAGCAGTCAGAATTCAGAAAGTGAAAATTTCCTTAGAATAAGTGTGACAGAGTGGAAGTTTGAGTTTTAATTATGGTATTATTATTAGAGTGTCGAGGGGGTTCTAACTTGGTAGTAGCCTTGGGGTATGTTGATTTTTAGCTCTAGCAAGGGGAGGGGGGGTACTAAGGGAGAGGTACAAGATTTTAACCCATTTTAGGTAAAATTTTCTCTCGCCAAATTTATTTGATATATTTAAACTTGATTTTATACCTTGACTGCATTTGTTCTTTGCTGTGGGTGTTGAAGCCAAAACATGGAATGAAAATATCTGATGTCTTCTACCATTCCGCTTAAATGGGTTTGGTACAAACTTGGACTTCAGGAATGTGTACACGTGTGCCTGGCTGCACGTGATCGTCACACTTTGTCACGTGCAGGGGGGTGACAGGGTAGAAACGAGCAGTTGGAGGCCAAACTGTGTTAATTTTCTGTTTACCAGATTTGTACTAATTCAAGGAGGATGAGAAATTTAGACAATAAAATTAACAAATGTGACCAAATTACTTTGTAAATGTATTGAAAACTGAATTTTTAAAAAAGAAAAAGTTCTTATGAAAACTTCTGAGAAGTAAGTTGTTTAGGAAACGAGCAACTATCAAAAGATTAACAGTCCTTGGTATGAACAAGAAGTTATAAAGAACTTCTTGGTATGAAATAATGACATTGTTAAAAATTATGATAAGTGTGGTAATACTTCTGAACACACATAATATTAACACATTTAACTTCGCCTTGACTCTCAGTCTGTAAGCTGCCTCCTGCAGGGTCAGTTTCACATAGTGACATTGGGTAAGTTTTGGTGAATTAAGATAATTTGAGGGCTTTTTTATTTCCTAGGAAAATAACTGTGTTTAGTGGTATTTTGAGGGATTTTTTATTTCCCTGTGAATAATTGTGTTAAGTGGTATTTGTTTGAAAAGACTGGAAATCTGTAACTGTCTTTGTGACAAGCTTACACCCCATTTCAATAGATTAGATCGACCTACTTTAGATCGACCTAACTCCCTAGGGTTCACGCTAAATAGCTGTCAGCCGGGCGGAAATAGCTGTCAGCCGGACCCTGCAGGAGAAAGTTAATTACCCCTTACAGCTTGTAGTAGGCGAGGACGGACACTTAAGGGGGATTATCTGACAGTAATCTAGTGAGACTCCCCGCGGTGATAGATCGATCTAAAGTTGTGGGAATAGACCCTTAGTTCACTTTTAAGAAAATCTATTTTTTTCTTTTGGGTGATGCTATTTAATGAGAAGAATAGTTTCTTTTCTTTTCTTTTTCTTTTGAGTTATTGGTGATACTCACATTGAAACTATATCTTGTCAAATATTCATTTAGAGTTAGATGAATGCACTGAAACAGTTATCAGTGATATGCTAGTATCATTTCTAGATATTTGGAAAGGCATTACATTTGATCTTAATTTTTCACATTTTCCATCAGGTGTCATGTTGCAAGACAGTTCCGCATGAAGTCTTATCTTAGATAAAATAGTCATCATTATGTAGCAGTTAATGAAACTCTAGCCATTCTTCTATTTATTACAATAATTGATTTTGTGTGGTCATTCTGACCTCCTTAGCCACATGCAGTGACCATTTGAGAAGCCTGACCTGTGGTCATAGCGCAGAAGACTGAACACAAAAGGAAGATGATCCATCCAGTGTAAAGTAATCTGTCCAAATTTAAAGGGTGTGTTAGAGAGACTAAGGGAGTAATAAACAGAAGAATGGTATATTTTATTTCACTGGTTATATAAAGTCCGCTGAATATCGGAGACTCTTCCTTAATTTGCAGTGGTTTGAAAAGTGGTGAAATCAGAAGATTCCAAGAGTATTTAGTTTTACAAAACCAATTATACTTGTAGTTATTGATCTGATATATAGGTGCATTGAATAACATTGTTGTTGATTTTAAAAACACCAGTGGATATATTGGAAAAACAGAGTAATATAAATTTCCCTATTATTACAGGTACAAATGTACTACAAGTACTGCTACAGTAGTAGAATTGAAGTTAAAGATGAAATTGCATTCCAAGATTCATAGATTACTGGAAACTTACTGAATGATCAGCATATCTCTGTTATTTCCAGCAAACATATGATATTGAAGAAGTGGGATAATGTACAATGATTGAAACTATAACAGGGCATTCAGTTAAATTCTCTGTCTCTTTCTCTCTCTCTCTCTCTTTCTTAATGTACTACACAGAAGGTAGTCATAATATCAGTACTTAAGTAGTGAGTTAAGTACCCAGCTATATAGGTAGAGTCAGGTTACAGATAAGTACCTAATGATTTTGGGATAGGACCACCCCGTGTATCAAGTGTTGGATGGGGTTGTACTCTTTGGTTACCCACATGTCATGTTCAAAGCTGAGTGGACTATGTTCTACTTAAGATTTTGTCTTTGCCAAAAAGTTCAAAATTTTAACATTAGCAAAATTTACAAAACCAATGAAGTGTTGATAAAACATTTCAGAAATGTTCACAAAATGGTGACAGTCACTATTTCTTTTTATTCATTGCTACTCATGAGAAATTGCACTCCTAAGGGAATTATATCTCAGGTAATTGCCCAAAATAAGAGAGAGAAATTAAAGCAAAACTGGTTAGAAAAAAATAATGATAATAAAAAAAAAATTTTACCCGTGTCCAAAAACAGGTTCACCAATTTTTTAAATCATTTTCCCCATTAGTCCCAGGGTTGTCTTTGTGCTTGGCTGGCATGGAAAAATAAAACTACCAATTCTATTTACTAAACAGGTTGAGCTAGTTTCATCACTTAAGTTTGAAAGCCTTAAGCATACTAAGGGTAATATTACACAGTACATTCAGGTAACTTGTGTACTCTCTAACACTTGTATAATAGTAAAAAGATGTAATTTATATTAAGAAATTCTTGTCACGGTTTTGGAGAAATTTTAGAAATCCATCCAGTCTGTAATTTTCTCTTGGAGTGTTTGATATCACTGGACATTCCTATATTTTTTAGTTTTATATGTATAAGATATTATGGCTTTTAAAAATGTTATTTAAATGAATTTTACTCAATACAATATTGTTAAGTGAATGATTCCATTAGGTCTCATCTTTTATTCTGGAAATTAACTCAAATCTTAATTAGGATTTCATGTAATCAAAAGTTCATCATAAGGTAATCTTAAGTTAATTAGATGAAGGAGATGGATTGGAATGTGATACAAAATTTGCTAGATAAAATCTTTTGCCATAGAAAGTCGGCATATGCCTGTAAAAATTGAATTATTTTGGATTTATCAGGTTTTATGTTTCACCTTATTCGAAAGAGCTTCTGGTTCAAGGGCTTTTGGAGTCAGTATATCAGACTCATTGTTTTGCTTTGCATTAGTTCTAGTTGTTCTTATGTCTTCTCGGCATACCTCATTAAGTAGTGAGTGAATCCACCTTGACTGATTCCAATCAGCTAGGCTAGTCATGATTGGATTATATAGCATTTATTTAATTTAATTTCATGCAAAGCCAAATAATAAATTTGAAGTAGGAATACTTAATGACTGATACATAATTTTGAACTACAAGCAAAGGAAAAGATTAGGCATAAACTGAAAGCTTCGAAAACAGTCATTTTTATAGGTTTGATTTCCCCCCCCCCCCCCTCCCTTCATCACCACACACCCCTTGTGCAAGTCAAGTTATAAGATGGGAACAGAAGCAAGACTCCAGTGCTCTAAATGTCACATGGGTGAACTCTATTAGGTAGAGGTTTGCCTGCTTTAATGAAATGCTGATTACCCTCGTTATGGTGTCAGTAATTGAAATAGGAAACCAGTGGGACACGTGGCTGTGCACCTGTTAATGATAGGGCAGTGCACTTTGTGATTGACTGAAACAAGACTCCTCTGTGAAGTGAGGTCTTATTTCAGTTAATTATATTAGTATTAGTGTGGATGGGTTTGAAGCAGAGCTTACAAAAGCCTGAATACTAAACTGCCACCTGTGTTATTTTTTAACCAGGGTACCTTTGTTGTAAGCTGTTTTATTTATTTATTTATTATTTTTTTTTTTTGTGATTTTGGTTTGGTTGAATTTTGAATAAAGGTGTCAGGGGAGAAAGAATATAGTTTTTACAGACAGTAGGAAAGTTTGAATAAAAATCCTTGTGTCATTTTTTCATTTACTATTAACCTCCTGCAGTTCACCTGATTTGTAAAGAATTTAACAGCAGAAGAAATTTTGTATGTTATGATTGATGCAAAACACCATGTGACATGCCAGTATCGTCTGCTCGCATTACAGTAGATGTCGTCTGCCACTCTTCAGTTCAGGTGAAGATGAGGTTATCAGGGTCAGGATGACTTGAAAAATAAAAATCCCCTGCATCTGAAAATATTACTTTGACTAGAAAATTGTATGAAATCTTTAGATTTTTCTTCATACTTGTCACTAAAGGAGGGAAGATTTTTTTTGACTAAAAAAAAAAAAAGGTATGCTGCCATTATTTTGATTTCAACATAGATAATGCTGGTTGAGTGTAGGTGAGGTTATGTTGCATAGCAGCTGACACAAATCTACCTGTACTGGGCAGACATGCTCCAAGGAACAAGAACTTTTTAGCGTAACGTAACGGCTTCTTAACACAGGTATTATTTTCAGCCACCTTCTCACATGACTGAGACACCATAGTGCAGTCTGCGAGTACACATGTTTAAAATTCAAACCAATGAACTCTGCATTTTTGAAATAGTGCGTCGAGATATATCAGAGCTAGGGGAGCTGAGGATTTGAAATCATAGGCTGCTGGCATATTTATGCCATCTTTACATGTAAGAGATACAACGTGGCATAATCTGCAGGTAGAATTTTTCAGATTACGGATTGAGATACAGATGGAAGTTTATTCATAACTGAGAGAGCTACAAACTCGGGGCGTATTTTTTTTTTCAAAAACCCAAGTAATATACCAGCTACCAATTCATCATGGTACCAGAGGTACACTGTAGTTAATGTCACCTTTATTTAATGAGACAGCTCTTAGCTGGCAGTGGTTCATTGACCAACAGTAGAGGGTCACTTTTGCACCTGAGGGAGACTGACTGACCCCTTTTAGTGTCCTGTCCACTCCTCATCAGTAGACTGACCATATCCTGATAACAGACGCTGGTCACATTAAGGGGGGGTACAGTCATGGAGTTCGGAGCGTGTGTCAGATTTCATTGGACATGACGGACAAGGAATACATTATGTTCCACTGGGGTAGACCAAGGACGTAGGTTGTCTCCAGTCTGAAGTCCGTAGTCCATTGTTGCTCTTGGATGGAATAAAGAACCAAAGGAGGCGCTGAACCTGTGAGATTTTATACCCAGGGACCAGGATCAGCACCAAGAATGGTGTATTTTTAATCACCATTGTTGTCAGTAGATATGAAAAGATTATGAAAGCGAAAAAGAAATTGGAATAATTGCAGCAGTGGGATTTTACACCAGGGTCTTTGTTTTTGTGCCATACGTCCATTTTTCATCACCTTTCTTAGAAAGCTTTGTGAAAACTGGATGATTCAAGAATAAGTGATAACTAGTGAAGTGGATTTATACTCATTACCATGATAACGTAGGGATATAAATGTCTATATATATCAGTCCTATAAGACCATCATGGCTTTTAGGTTGGCAAGTTATATATGGAACACCTTTTCACAGGTAGGTGATGCATTAGAGTTTTTTTCTTTGTATATTGTAGGGTCATTTTATTTTTTTGGTTTATTTATTTATTTATTTTTTTTATTTATTTATTCAGTGAATGCATTATATAAAAATCCAAGTTTTAGAGCAGGAATTGATTTTTACTCTTTCATGGGTGTCAGAGCTGGGGAAGGTTGCTTATGGCTTGATACATTATTTTTATACCTTTATATAATTAGCTAGTTAGATGACACTGATGGAAATGCTCTACAAAACAGTTTTTTACATTTCATTGTTTTTTTTCTGTAAGGGCTTATTTCCAGAACACCATTATAATGACTCCATCCCTAGAGATTTTTTCTACACAAATGGTTTCTTTTTTCCTATTAAAATTTTTTTTACCCTGTGGTGTCTATCATCATAGAATGGTCAGGATGTCATTTACTCAGTCTGATAGTCTTGGTAACATTCAACAGTATATATAATTAATGCATTATGATTCATTTGAAAGTACTGACACATCAATACAAGGTCAATTGGGGATGTTTTTATTGCTGATTTGATTAACTTAGATCAGGATTAATGCCATACAGGGGTGCCCCTGGGAATCATTGTGGTAATATTGGTACAAATAATAACAGTCATGATTATTTTGTATTCAGGTCTTTTTATTAAATTTATATATTTGTATTTATATATGTGGCCTAGATGTATATAACAGTTTCTGACTTCAAGGGGGAATTACAGCTAGCCTGAGTTTTTTCTGGCCACAGCTTTGTATTCTATAACATAAACCAGTTTAAAATTGTTGCTAGAAATTTTATCCTTCTGTTAAATGTTTCATTTTCCCCGATTTTTCAAGCTATGAAACTTGCTGCTACATATCCAATATATATGCACCATGTATAATTTGTCTGACACTGTACTCATCATGAAATCATATTTATACAGAGCAAAAATTAGACAGTTGATTTGCTAGTTACTTTTTGATTTTTTAAAGTTTTTTTTTTTTTCCGTTCATCTTGCACCACAGTCAATCTGCCTCCTATTGCATTGTCAACATAAAAAAATATTCTGATATTTTACTCTTTTCTAGCAAGTGCTGCGTGTACTTGTGTCAGCTGACTTTGGTTTGATTTGATATTCTTTTTTTTTTTTATTGTATGTGACCGGAATACATTTCAGCACAGTGGGTAAATACCTGGCGTAACATTAAGTCCATTAACATCAAAGGTATTTTCCTCAGGTACATTATACGGAATCCAGAATACATGATGTCACATATATTAAAGCATAGTAAACCTCCCTGAACAATTTATTGTGTCCATTATTACTGTCCAGTGGACATGGATGTTATGTGGACTGTCAAAGACCTCCTTTATTGTCTTAAGACATGATAGGATCTTAATGTTTGTGGCTTATTGACTGTACTTTGTAACCTTGGTCTTTTACTTCTGCAGTTTGTTGTATATTATTTAACTCTCATACTCTCATGTAGCTTTGGATTTTTTTTTTTTTTTTTTTGAACTAGTCGTATTTCTTTATCATCACACACACTTTGCAGTTGTGGTAAAAATTTTCATTTTTATGCATACTTTTAAACCATTTATGGAGAAACAAATACTTGTTTGGCATGAAGATAGTAGATTTGTATGGTAGAAATGGGTACATTTTTATCCAGGTACTTCAAGAATAATCCAAACCTTGTTTGACTGGTTGTTGTAGAGGAAGATCTAAATAAGGTCTTACCTTGAAAGTCGTGAAATTATTATCTCTATTTATTATTTTGGTTTGTTATGATCTGCACTCAGGTCAGGAGACGGTTCAATGGAGGAAAAAGAAACTGGATTAAATTGGCCTATTGCTGCAAAATAACAACTTGCTTTTGCTCTTTTTTTTTCATAAAATTACTTAAACATCGAGACTGTTGGTATTGCATGTGTGCTTGGCAGGGAAGTGCAGATTACAAAATACATCCAATGTTTGCTATCATCTTTTATCTTGAAAAAGCTCCTACCTTATGCCCCTGTCCTGACATTGAGTGAAATGTCTCATGTTTTACCATAGCTATCATGCACAGTTAGCACCACAGGTGTTTTTTTTCCCTGGAAGGGGGGGGGGCTACCCAGGATATTTTTAAAAAGGATAGTTTTTAAGTGTTTTAGATCTGGTTTTTTTTTCCTAAAGTAGGTCTTTTTCTCCTTGTTTTTACTTAAAAGTATCCTAACCTCATGGCAGAGATAAAGACACCTGCTTTAAGTTTTCGAAAAAGTGATAAAAGTTTGGGGCATTTTAAAATATATGAAGCATGCTTTGGTGGGCCTAATGGTGCTTTCTTTTTCTTTTCTCTTAGGAAGGGAGGGAAATTCATCTGGATCTACCTGTTTGTTTGGATAGTTCATGAATTGACAAGTGATTCATAAGTGAAAGAGAGAGAGTTGAATGAAGAAAAAACATAGAATAGGGTTGAATTTATTGAAAATAAATACACCAGGTGATACTAAAAATTTGATGATGAAATAACACTGAAAAATAACCCCTGGATGATACTGTTGGACCAGTTTTGAATAATTGTGATTTTAATTTAATGGCTGCTTTTATCGGAATCATATCAGCCATAATAGAAAAAGAGGTCATTTCATGTCATATTTTATCTTTAATAATGATAATAGAAATAAAGAAAGTTATCTATATATGACTCAGAGAATATAAAAACTTCAAAACTCAACTGTAATGATCTATTCATACCCCAAAAATTAATCATATTTTAGTATTCATAAAATATCTATGTTGGTTATATTTTAAACCTGAAGGCAGTTCTCATGCTACATGTTTTACATGAAATGATTTCTGACATGGTAAATTTGCATGTGAAATGCAGTGTAGGCTGGTGTACATATTGCAGCTATAGAATTGGTGAAGTGAGGCAGGAAAACCTTAAGAAAGCTTAGGGTAGTGAAATTTAAGATGTAGTGCTAAAATGAAATTTAAATCTTTAATATTTCAACTCATCATTAGTTACCTTGCTCAATCACCTCCCTTCTCTCCTATCCTTTCTCTCTCAAATCATTTTTTCCATGACTCAATGGTTGATTTATTTATTTATTTGGCTGATTATTTACTTATTTATTTATAATCAACCACACACCTGATAATTAACATTTTTACCTTGAGATAATCTTAAGATAATGATAAATAAGATGCCTGAACATACTATATCATCAGTTTAATATATTGTTAAAAGGTTTTTGACAGGCTGGCAGTTAGAGTATTATTTTACCATTCTTTTCAAAATCATGACCCATGCAGATTTTTTTTTCAGTATTCAGTTCACTTCAAAAGAAGCATTTCAGATGGCAAACATTCATTATGTGCCGTGTGTTATTTGAATTATAGCCGTTATAAGTTTCCCCAACCAGGGCAACTGGTTTATTTTTCAGTAAACCATATGCTAATGTATTGTGTGAAAAATGCTAATGAAATGGATTTGAGATTGCTGTTGTTGTTGAGAGATGTTGCCATGGTGATGAAAAATGATGCTGCATCTGATGTTCCTTAATGGTGTGTGTGCAGGTGTGGGAAAAAGGACAGTTATAATGTATCACTTCAGGGTCTTGCTCAATTGGTAGATTTTTCCAACAGCTAAAAATATCCTGCTTGATGGATAAAAATTAAGAAAATTGGTTTTAATTGTAATTTTTTTTTACTGTGTTATTATTTTTTTTGTTTGGCTGTAGAAAGGGCAACATATTAGTTGGGCTTTGCTGGATTTACTCTGCAAAAGTGATTGCTTTCAGTAAACTTGGCAAATGTCAATGGATTTTTAATGGTCAATTTGGTCTTCTAAGTAACTGTTCTATGATTGATGTACATTGGGGGAAATGTTATGGTGCTATTCTGTCTTTTCATTTTATTATTTGAAGTCCTCTATGATGTATACACATTTCATTTCATCAGCATAGAATAGACAATTTTAACTGTGCATAACTTGATATTGAAAAACTGTATTTGGAGAAAAAATTTTTTCAACAGGAGTAGATGTATCTTAGACACATGAAAATGATAGCAAAAGAACTGAAAAAGTTATAATGTAAAGAAAAAAAGGTGAAGAGTTATCCAAGTGAATGAATTGTTACATGGCCACTGTTATATTTTTATCATCACAAATTCTCAGGACTCAAAAACAAGCATGGTATGTCTGTGAAACCCTGTGTGACAGTACTTCCGTGTATGCCCCCCCCCCCCCCCCCCCCCCCCCAAAAAAAAAAATTGATAGAGTTCACATATTGCATGTGTACGACTTTATGCAACACTCATACAGCAAGAATTGGAAGACTGAAGTGGACATTCAGCCTTAAATTATGTTTTCAATATCTAATCATGCCGCTTCTGAAACATTAAAAAATTTGAAATA